ACGATGACATTTTGCCTCTCGGCTTCTTAGGATCTCCTTTGCCCATGGTTAGTTATTTCTCGTCCGCGAGGCACAGAGTCGCCCAGTGCCGTCCGGCTCTGCCTGGCCCGGCGCTGTCTCTATGGAGCTCAATGTACTGCAGTGGCTGTGAGAGCAGGAGCCAGACGCAGCCTCCTCACTCTCTCCGCTCTGAAAAAAAATATTTTTTTAAAAAAGCAACAGCCATCTTTTAATTACATCATCTCCAAGTAAACGACATAATTCATTGATTCTGTGTGCATTTCAGTCCACTCTTCATTTCTCCATTTTAGTTAACAGCAACTGACCCATTATCCAGGATAAAGCCTTATTGTTACTTTGAAACCAGCTTCCATCTTTGCTCCCTGCATTATGACTTGTGGATCCCAATACAGAATCCTATTCTATCAGTCTTTTCTTTCCTATCCTGCTCCTATGACCCAGCCAGGCTTTTCCTAGGGTGCCTTCAGAATCCTGAAATAGCCTGATTGGTCTCCCTTGTCTATTCTCACTCATCTACTCACTTATCAGCACCAGAGGAACCTTTGTGCATTCAATGTAGAAACACAGCAATGCATCTCCACTACTCACAGCACAGATTCCAAACTCTGAAGTCTGGATCTCTACAATCTGTTTCCAGAAATCTATCTACATTGATATCCTACTATTTGTCAACAAGACTCTGAACCAGCCAGACACATATTCTCACAAGCTTGTGAAATATGCTTATTCTTATCTCATTATATTTGTTGATACTGTTTTCTCTATCTATAAAGTTTCTATCACTCATTCTTCACTCATCTCATCATGCATTCATTCAACAAACATCTGATAAGACCAAATGTGTGTGTGGGTGTAGGAAATACTTAAGATTGTATAGCATCTAAGATTTTACTCTTGCCCTTAACAAGTCATCTGAGTAAATTTTACCATCATGAGATTTCTCTTAAATCTTTCAAGGCCATGTTTTTCAGACAGGTCCAACTCATTCATACCAATCTTCTAATATTTTTTCTATTGCCTTGTATTTTAATTATTTTCCCCAAAGATATTCAAAGATGGTGAAGTCATCAAAGTATATTACTGTGTTTTCTATGAGGTGATCTGGGTGGAGATGTATCGTGAGTCGAGTATGACTAATAGTGATCCTATGAACAGTAGCTGTGAGACCTATCATATCCTGAGCCAATCTCACCATCTCTGACACACCTGCCCCCATTGCCTCAGTTACTGTTTCAGTCCAGGTTCTTCCTCTTCTACACTGACCTTCCACCCTTCCAAGCATAATGTCCTTTTCCAAGGACTGGTCCATCCTGGCAACATACCCAAAGTATGTCAGATGGAGCTTCAAAATGCTTGCTTCCAAAGAGAAACTTATTCTCTTGGCAACCCATGATATTCAATACTCGTCTCCAGCACCACAACTCAAAGGCATCAATTCTTCTTACATTAGCCTTTATCTCTACCCAGTTCTCAGGTTCACAGCAAGCAATTGAGAAGAGCACGCCTGAATCAGGAACACCTAAGTCTCTAGACTGTCATTACTTCTATCTAGCACTCTGAGAGAAGAAATTAATGACAGAAGAAGTTAATCTTTTTGTTTCCAAACTACTGGTACCAAGAGTGTTGATTGTAGATCCAAGCAAGATAAAATTTTTAGCAATCTCAATCTCTTCTCCAGTGGTAAGAATCTTTGTTTTCTTGATGTTGAGATGCAATCCATACTGAAGACTGCAGTCCTTGACCCTCTGCAGCAAACTCTTCAGGTCCTCAGATTTGGTGAGCAAGGTTGTGTCATTTGCATATCTCAGGTTGTTGATGAGTCTTCCTTCAATCCTGATGTTTGTGTTGTAATTACTGGGAAATCACCTATCAATGTCATGTCACCTTTTCTTACTTTCACTCCCTGTATTTCCACATGATGGTGAATCAAGTCCAAATGGTCAAACCAACTGTGCACACAGACACAGTAATTCCCCCTCAAAATTATCTGAACTACTGATTCTGATTCAGGTTATTAGTGACTTTTAATCATTCAGGTTCTAATCACTGGAACCAGCAAACTGAGCAAAGAAGATCAAACCCTTGGCTTTTCATGGGACAAGGTGACGGAAGCAGTAAATGAATATTTTTGAAAGAGTAACCATTAGGCTACCGTACAACAGAACACATTTAGATAACAGAAAAGGCAAAGGAGGTAGAGTTTTCAAGTATGGAAAGACAAAGGAAGAGGAACAGTTGTAAGCAGACACTGGTGATTGGGACATGGAATGAAGAACCATGAATGTAGAAAAATTAGATATTTTTAAGGAAGAAATGGAACGCATAAATATTGACATACTAGGCATTGGTAAGATGAGATGGACTGGCATGGGACATTTTGAGTCGGATGACCATATGATATATTACTCTGGAGATGAAAAGGTGAGGAAAAATGGAGTTGCTTTCATAGTTAAAAAAGTCACTGCTAGATTCATCTTGAAGTACAATATTGTCAGTGACA